TACAGTTACTGAGTCAGTAAACCAGCAGACCTGCAGCTCTTTAAGAACAGGGATGCGTATCCCTGCTGCTGGGGGAGATATAAATATGATTGCTCTCACTGTCATCTCCTGCTCGATGTGTCGGAACATCTGCTCCCTCTGCTGCTGCAGTCGCTGCTCCAGCTGCGCCTGCTCCTTCTGCTCCTCCTTCTGCAGGACTTTGAGCGCGTGCAGCTCCTGTCGCCTGCGCAGATGCAGTCACACAGTCAGTCCTGTCGTCTGCGCAGATGCAGTCACACGGTTAGGCGTCTGGGCCTCAGGCCCTACGAATCAGGTCTGTCCGCTTTGCTTTAGATGGGTCGTCGTATCGTCCCGGCTCGGCCCAGCTTAGAGTGCACATGGAAGGCACCTCCTTTCTATGGAATATGTTTCCATACCCATGTGAGGTGTACAAACTACACAGTGATAAGTCAGCGCTGAGTGGAGAAATGGCATGTCTCTTGCTGGCATCACTGCTAGCTCTGTAGATCCTTGGCATTTCGCAAGGGTCGCTGCTTTCCTGAAAGCCCACTAAGGCCGTGCCCACCCTGCCCTAGAGCCAACCTTGCACTGTCGTCTCCTGACACGATCCAGGTTCTACCTGAGCGGCTCCTGAGCCACAGGGCTCATCCTGAACTGCTTGAGCCTCTCGGGGGCTCCCAAACACCTAGCTCTCCTTCCTGTTTGTCCAGCCGCTCTGTACCGAGCCCCTGTTTCCGGTGGGAAGGGTTTACCTGACGGACCGCATCTGCTGCTCCTTCCTGTCACTGTCGCTCACGATCTTGGAGGTGGTGACGCTCATCTCCCGGCCGTCCACGGTGAACTTCCGAGTCTTCTTCACCGTCTTCCTGGTTGTTGGCAGGTCCTGGGAGAGGGGGAAGGAAGGCGGAGGGAGGGGGAAGGAGGGGATGGTGGTTACAAGACTTTTTTTTTCCCTGATGGATTCTCTCTCGGGGTGGAGTGTTTAAAGCCCCTCTCTTTCTTCTGGGCTCTCAACCGGCTTGCTCAAGGAGCAGATCTGATTTCTCACGGCAAACACAAGGGTGCGTATCCAAAGGAAAAGATGAGAAACTCAGGAAAACCCCGATGACAACTCACCCCCTCATTTGTGACAGCTGACATCACCTGGGGACAGATGGGGAAAAGGCACGATGAGACAGAAGACCAAAGAAACGTTAGGATAGTTGACAGTGCAGAAGGGTGGTTCACCTCTGCTGTGGGTATCCTGCTGTCATCATAATTGACCCATAAGCCAGAAAGCAAAAAGTAGCCATAGGAATTCTAATTCCTAACCCAACATCAACCCCTTTCAAGAGCATCTGTCTTGTAGACTAATATCTGATTCTTCCAAGGGCGTCTAAATTCTAATATCACCCCCTGCAAAGGGCATCTAACTTCTAGTGTAACATCTGCCCCTTCACAGCCCAACCATGCCCTACATACTGAACATTTTTGGGCCAGTGTCCATGATTATACCACCTCTTTTCAGAGGAGTAGACGACAAGCTGTTTCATTTTCAGAATATGTGCCGTGTATATAATATCAATATCCATTTCAGGTCAGTGGTATGTACATCAGGAAGGATATATAGGATGAATTCATTAGAAACGATATGTATTACAAATGAAACCGAGAGAAACTGACCGCGTTTCAGAGGGACACTCAACTAAGCTGCAGGGTGCTGTTGTCTGGACAGCCTGGGATGCCTACAGGAGTCAGGGGGCCTCACCTGGCTGGGGGGTCCGGTCTCTCTCCCCTCTGGGACAGGTGCGTGGTCATCCAGTGTGGAGTGGCACGAGCCCCCGTTTGCTTCGGCGTGGATCCCATCCGGAGCGCCCTGATCCTTGCAGAGTCCTGGCCCCTCTGCTGACCCCACGCTCCCGTTGATGGCAGGTGGGCCGGCCTCTTTGTCTGCGCCCCCGCCGTCCCCCTCCCGCGACTCCAGCTGGGCCGCGAAGTTCACCCTCTTCG